GTAACAAAATATTTGCGAAACAAATTAAAATTTACATTGATACCAAAATAAACCAACCGACGAGTGAACATTCGAAATAAAATGCTGAGGAAAAATGGGGAAAACAAAGTTCTTGTGCTGCTGCACTTGATGTTGATGTTTTTGAGTGAAATTACACGGCCATCGCCATCGGCAAACAGAGAGCAACGAGCCAAGAATTGGGGTAGAAAACGCCAGAAAGTGGAATAAAAGTAAATGCAAATGCAAACGCAAATAAACAATCCGAAGGATGCAGCAGCGAACGTGCAGTAACTTTTGCCCGCCACTGTGGCACGTTTCACTGGTACTACTTGCGGCATCGTTCACTACGCTCATTTATTCATTCCAGTTGTTTTCCTTTTTTCATCTTTCCGTTTACTCCTCGTTTTTTTTCTCATTCGAGATTTCGACAAAATATTTCGACATTATCTTGATCACAATCACACACAACGGTACAACAGTGCGTATGCTTAACATTTGCCGCTTCACTGGAAAAGAGCACTCGTGAGATGCTGCGTAGATAAAAAGTTGAATTGAATTTCATGCAAATTGCATTCATGAATTTGTTTTTAATTAGAAAAGTTGCCGGATCTTCAGCCTGCAGGACTATGAATATGAAGTGGACCCCGAAGCGAACGGCTAAGGCAAACTATTTGCACATCTAAGTGACTTGCTTCCAATTTTACAGATGAATTGCTGAAGATTTATGCTTTTCTCAGCTTGTCACACACAAATTCGACCCCAATTAAAAGCGAAATAGACTCCGAAAATTCGAGCAGTTTTCGGCAAAGACAATGCAGCAATGAGAGATTGTAATTAGATTGAAAGTTGAGCTGTGTTTGTGACATTTTGTCGAGTTCAATTACTGGTCAAAATGTTAAAAGTTTTTGCAGACAGCCCACAACAAATGTACACATACCCAGACGGATAAATTGGCAAACGCCAGGCTCTAAAAACTGAGTCAAAATGTGAACTTTGAATGGCAAACTTTTCAACTGCAATCTCCAATTACAAACGGGGGATCAACAAAATGTGCAGAGGCCAGTATAATTTCAGAATGCTCCCCTTTCTCGGAAGCCCAACAGAGAATCAAATTCTCCATGGCTCCCCTCGGAATTCTCTCAGTATTTCCCCATTCGAGTTAAAAGTAGGGAAAAGCCACCGAATTTGGTAGCACAGGCAGCAGTGCAGGAGTTAACCAAAAACGGAAATTTATGACCGGACAAGATCCGATATACGGTAACAACACAGTTGAGAGCCAGTCGCATGGGAGGTGGGAATTATGGGTGGGTACTGCATATTTGATAGTCCTCACACTTTCAAAAATAAAATCCAATAAATTCTAGACCTAAAAATAATACTTATTTTCATTTCTTAAGCTTTTTTAGGAGCTTACTTTAGAATACTGAGGGTTTATTGTGTCCCTGTCTCCGAATGTTCTTCGCGCTGAATATAAATGAAATAAATTACGATTTTAAAATGTAGCTATTTTTTCTCAGTATCTGCCGCTTGTGTACACACTTGCTTTGGCATTACGCACAAGTGCAGTGCGTTTTTGGGTTTGGCAACCGTAAATTACGATTGCTGGAGAGTTGGCTCAAGTGCGAAATGCTGGCCGGGCTTCTACTCGCCTTCGAGACTTCGATAAACCCCGGAGGACAATACACCAGCTGGCCATAAATCGAAGGATTTGAATTATGAAATCTTCCTTTCTGCCGCCCTTGCAAATTGAGTGCGAGGCAATTGAGTTCTCGTACCGAGCGGAATGTAAACAATCGCTTTATTCCGCCTGTCAAGTGCCACGCCCCTGCTGCCATTAGTCAGCGTATGACAATGCATAAATTATGGGAATTATTTATTAAGCGGCAGTAGAAACATTTGGCCACAAATAAATGAATAAAGGCGAAAGTAATGCAAAGTCGTGGCAAATCCTCAAGAAAAGGCGCCAGAAAAAGCGAACTCATTGCGGTAATAATCATAAATTTTGTGGTTAATTAATTTATTGGCATTGAGTCGAACAACGTGCCATTTGACTTTTGATTGTGGCTCTTATGGGCACTTGATTAACTAAATATAAAAATAAATAATTGCATACTTAGGTGGGTAGTGGGTGGGGAAATTCATAAATCTTTGAGTCGTAAGCTTTGGAATCAAGTGGATTAATGGGCTCCTGAACTTATAGTGAGGTCAATATCTAAATGATTTCTTATTAATTAGTTGTGTGAGCTGGTTAGTTTGAGTTTATAGGTATACAATATATAAATCCTTTGATAAATATATTTCAGCTTGGATATTCGATGTTATATTTCATGTTATTTTAATCGAATTTGCACAACGTACCTGAAACCTCCGTATCTTTTAATTAATGCACCCAAGGCTTAGGATTTCAAAACTCAGCATCAAATTTCATGCCAGAAAGCTCTGGTTTACATTCGCAATTCTGTGGAATTTTTAATTGTTAGGTGGATGTGTGCCGGTGTAAGTCTACCCGACAAAACTGCACATGAATTCAAATGCAAATTTCCAGCTCTGCTGTATAATTAGAGGAAATACAATTATTTATACACACATGCAAATGCAAACACCGTGGCTCTTATATGCTGGTATAATAGTCAAATTCATTAGCCAAAGAAATGCTGTTAAAACCGCACAACCAGAAAAATGCTCCGACTGAAATATTCTGGCTCAAATAATTCATTTGAGTTAGACCCGCAGAGCCGTGCAAAATCTGTGAAAACCACGGAAAACTCCATGGAAACTGCCACAAAACGAAAATGATTTCTTAATGCAATTCCTCACACACTCAGGTATTTTAGTTCATCTATTGTTCGGTCTTAAATCTCACTCCCTCTTCGGGTCTAAAGAAATTCCGGCTGAAAAAGCAAAATAGCAACACATAGAGCATTATAGCCGGGGTGCCGACTTTCCCCCACCGCCTTTCCTGCCATTTTCCCTGGATTTTTCTCCTTTTTCAGCAGATGCATGCGTATCAGCTCGAGACTTCCGGCGGTGTCTTTGTGAAGCTGATCCCCGGCTCAAGGTTTTTTTCAGGAGCTACGCTGACAGGTTGAAAGCATCATATGTAGTACTTTGCCGTACACTGCTACAATACCTACCCATCTGAATTGTGTTTATATACATATGGTATCATCATCTAACACTTTTAAAGATGTATCCGTACACCTTAGGAGAGCAGTTTAGCTTGAAAGAATATTACATGTTTCCAGTGCAAGGCTAAACATTCTTTAAGTGTACGTTTTATTTATTTATTTACTTTTTAGGGAGCAAGAAAAGTATGAGTAAAGGGGAAATGGGAAATGGGCAACCCTTTTTCCTCGTTCAGCACAACTATCATTGGGTATCATAAATATTTATCAAACTGAAGGTGAGCTGCTCGCTTTCCCACTTAAGGTGACCCGAAAAACCGAAGGAGATCCGGTGGAAAGAAAAAGAATTAAATTTAATTTGCATACGTTAAGTGGCAGAGGCAATTAAAGCCACGCGGAGAAAGCTCGAAGGACAAAGGACTTTGCGCGCCCTTTTGATTGAGATGTGAAAGGAGCCGCGGCAAGGGACAAAAGAAAATTGGGTGAAAAGTGGGAAATCATAATTGGCCTCCAAATGCTTGAACTCAATTATGTGCGCACAATTTTGGGGCCACGACGACAACGACATTGCTTTGCTGCCGTTGACAGGCAAATTATGGATTCAGATTCAAGGCCAGTGCACGCACAAATTTCGCCAGTGAAATGGCACTTTCCCTTTGGGGAAAGCTGAGGACAATTTGCATAGCCCCCTGCCTTGGGAAAATGACACAACAGGAAGGCAGAGTGAGGCGAAGGTGACGTCATGGCCCCAGCAGACATGATAAATTACTCAGACATAAACAAAAGATAAATCATGGCTGCAGCTTCTTGCACACCCGATTGAAATGCATAAGGAATTTGGCCAAATGCAAATTAAGCTTTGGAGGGGATCAGATATTACTGCATAGGAACCACATCCAGTCAAGGGGAAAGACAGCGGAAGGTAGTCGCACTTGGGTGACAGTTGGGCAGGAAGAGGCCTGAAGTTCGCCTGAAAAGGAGGTGAACGTAAGTACACAATAACTAGTTTTGTGTACTATATGCAGTGGATAGTGCGATTGCCAGATATAGGCACTTCGACTTACTTTAAAGCAAAGAACTACTCTCTTATGGATTACTGATAAAAATAGATATCTTCGGCTTGGAATGCAGTTTTGCAGGTAAACGTCGCCAAGACCCTTACAGAAAAATGGAAAAACGTGCCCGTTGGTGCTAAAAAAGTCAGAGGGGAAAGCTGCACTTCTACGTGCAACATGACCACTCCAGGCCAACATGGCGTAACCGAGTGCATCGATGTGGACACGGGAAGTGGAAAACTCGATTCTACCAGAGGGTCACGTAGTAATTGACACATTCCCAAAATCCCACGGCAGTTTATTGAGACCGAACGTCGATGGCTGACCATCAAGTGGTCCAAACTCGGCACAGTCATGATACAAGCATGTTGAGAAAGTAGTGATTTTGAAACTGATAAGAGGATCATCGCCCGAAATTATAAAGTACACGCAAAAACATAACGACACAGTTGAATTGCGTTTGTTTACCTAAGGCACCAAAACTTTTTCCCTTATCTCAGTTGAGTGCGTCACGCGTCCCAAAATCTTTACTTTAACCTTAACCCACGTATACCTATGGGCCATTTTCGCACGAAATTTAAACGCCAAATGTACTGCGAAAATGTAAAGGGGAAATGTAAACTACAAACTGGAATTTCTTATATTACCCTAATATTTAAGTTTTGTAAAATATGTTTTATTTAATTTATTAAAATTGTATGTTTGTTTTTTCTAGTCTAATCATATTCAATTTTTAACATATTTAATATTTGGTGGCCCTTGAAATAATAGTGTTTTGCTAAAATGGGTTAATTCCCGTTTTTTGCACCATCCTCCTGCTTACTGCGTTCTTTCTCATTTTTGCTCATTAAGGTATATTTATTTCAGAGATTTTATATTGCTGGGCTGTTCATGCTGATTATTGCCACCAAAACAATTTAGTTGCTATATGGCCGTCGCAGTTGCAAGTCGTTGCTAAAAATTTTGGCAATTCACTGACGATGGTGCCCAAGTATATAAAAAGAGATAATACTCGGTCAAAATAACTGGAACAAATCTTCGCGTTCCAGGCTGTTGATACGTCAGCAACGGTTGTTTGAATAAGAATGTAAAAATAAAGAGCAGAAAATTACTTTTTCAGTGGTTCAAATTACGAAAAGCAAAAGAAGTGATGGAAAATTTGTCAATCAGGGCTGTGAGTAATCAAAACAAAGAGCAGAAGAATGTGCATCTCTGCAAGGCGAAGATTTCATACTCTTGCGTTGGTTGTGCCATTAAATGAATTCCGCAAAAAAAAAAAAAAACAAACAATTGAAATAATTTTTTTTTTTACATATTTAGAAACACCCGCAATGCGAAGAGGTGATAATACCAGCACCTTGGGGTCACATAGCAGGCCGTTGGTATGGCAATCGAGCTGATAGACCCGTTTTGGCGATTCACGGATGGCTGGACAATCTGGGCACCTTTGACCGGCTGATTCCCCTGCTTCCCGACTACATAGGAGTGCTCTGCATCGATCTACCCGGACATGGTAGATCTTCTAGGCTTCCGCCGGGTGTGCCCTACAATGTCTACGACTACGTGTTCATCATACCGAGGGTGATGAAGGAGTTCGGCTGGTCCAAGGTCTCCTTAATGGGTCATTCGCTCGGAGGAGTGATGAGCTTCATGTACGCCGCCATGGCGCCAAGCACAGTCGACATGATTATATCACTGGATGTACTGCTTCCACGGAGGATCGAGGATCCCAGCAAGTTGACCAAGGACATAGAGGGTTATTTGCTGGAGGAGAGACGGCAGGCGGATGGCACCGAACATGAGCCGCCCTCCTTCACCTTGAGTAAGTTGCGTCAGACGCTCGCCAGGAACAGCAACAACTCGGTGCCGCAACACCTGGCCGATCACATGCTCCACCGCCAGGTGGCCAAGTCACAGATGTACCCGGAAAAGGTGTTCTTCTCCAGAGATGGGCGCGTGAAATACTACCACATATTCGACATTGAAAACGGTCTGGCTCTCGAAATGGCAAGGCGCATTGAGAGGAAGCCCTATCTGGTAATCAAGGGATCCCTTTCGCCATTTGTGGGACCCCGATGTGACGAGACAATGTCCATTCTGGCCCAAGATAACCCCAACTTTGAGTTCTACGAGGTGGAGGGCGGCAAGCATCATGTCCATCTTCATGCCGCCGAGGAGTGTGCCCGCTATATTGTTCCCTTCATCCGAAAACACAGACCTCCAAGAAGCAGCAAACTTTAATGTGCCTTTCAAGTTGTAGGAATCATATATTTGGGTGCAGTAAAATAAACTAGATATTAAAACTTGGAGTAAGTATTTGCGAAGGTTGCCCATTTGATACATGGGAAAACAATTAGGTCTCTGCTTTTATACTATTTTGGGCGTTTTGTTATCAAAAAGCTTTTATGTGGGCAGCTTTTTAAGTGTATCTCGATTACTGATATTCTAAACAAAAGCGGCAAAGCGGCACCAAAATAAAAATGGAAATAAGTAATAAACGTTGTTTATAAATAGACGTTACTTTACATTTATATTTGGATAGAATGAAATTTATATTTTTAGACCTTATTTTAAGATAAAAAGTACTATTTAAATTTAACAGATCTCACATTGCCATTCGCCCCGAAATGTTCGGGAGCTTTTTCGCTCATCAAAAGCTTAATTCATGTTTTTGTTCTTCGACCTCGGCAAGTCAACACGCGAATTGCAAGGCGTTTGTGTTTTAATAAACTGAATGATTTTTAAATTAACAACAAACTAATAAATAACACAAAATAGTTAACAACAACTATTGGTGTAATAAAGAACATGAACGTTCTATGGATTTAATACACAGCAGTAAGAGCGCGCGGGAAATACAACCTCAAGCACAATCTTATATCGCTCTCTTAATAATAACTTAAGAGTTTCAATGGAGAATAAAAAGATCTCTTGTCGTTTTCAGTTCAAGTAAAAACTAAGCCATTAAAGAGACAAAAACTATTTTGCGGCAAAATGTTAAAGCGTAAAGACGTGTAGAAAATAAGCGGATTACAAATAATTTAGAACAAATTTAGATAAGGAAAACCAGTACTACTACAATGGGAACCTTGTCACTGAGCGATGTAAGTACACCTGATTCATAGACGATAATACCCACCAATTATAAACTTATTATTATTAATAACTGGTAGAGTGATTAAGAAGACAGTAATATAGTCTATACACTTTGCAGTTCCAAGCTGTAAAGATTCCCGTGCCTTGGGGTCACATTTCTGGACGTTGGTACGGAAATCGGAAGGAGCGACCCATCCTGGCGATTCATGGATGGCTGGACAACCTGGGAACCTTCGATCGGCTGATTCCCCTGCTCCCTGACTACTTAGGAGTGCTCTGCATCGATCTTCCTGGGCATGGAAGATCCTCACACTTGCCACCGGGAGTGTACTACAGTGTTTACGAGTTCGTGTTCACAATTCCAATGGTGATGAAGGAGTACGGATGGTCTAAGGTCTCCCTAATTGGACACTCACTGGGCGGAGTCCTGGCCTTCATTTACGCCTCCCTAGCTCCTCATACCGTCGATATGATCGTCTCCCTGGATATACTGCTCCCCTTGAGAAACGATATAGACTACATGGGCCAGAGTATAGAGAAACAACTAGTGAATGTTGAGCGACAGAAGCTGGGAAACTATAGTGAGCCACCCTCCTACACCCACACCCAGTTGGGAAAGGTGCTGGCCAAGGGAAGCTTCAATTCCGTATCCCCCGACCTGGCCAAGCACCTGCTCCATCGCCAGTTGACCAAGTCGAAACTGTACCCCGAACGGTTCTACTTCTCGAGGGATATTCGAGTGAAGTACTATCACTACATGGACATTGACGATGGTCTTGCAGCAGAAATGGCGGGACGAATAATCAAGAAGCCATATCTAATCATCAAAGGCTCCTTGTCACCATTTCTCTCTACCCGCTGCAACGAGGCTATATCGATTTTGGCGAAGGATAACCCTTATTTTGAGTTCTACGAGGTGGAAAACGGCACCCATCACATCCATCTCCATGCCGCCGAGGAATGCGCCGGTTACATTGTGCCCTTCATCCAACACCACAGACCTCCTGCCCTGACCTCCTGGGCTGTAACCGGAAGGGACGATAGATTGAGGAAACCAAAGAGATTTTTCACATGGACCAACAAAAAACGCAGCAAGTTGTGATATTAATAGGAGTTCTATTGCTGGGGTTCTATTAGGTCTATCAGAGGGTAAACTTTTTTTACATTTTTACTGTAACTTTACATGTATAAGATAAGTTGTAAAATTTAAGAACTTGTGCTTTTACCGATCTTCGAGTATTGCTATCAAACTAGCATATTTCAAAAAATTATTTTTTGGATAATTAAATGTACTTAATACATAGATACAAACAATTCTGATTGTTTTTACACTTTACGTAAACCTCGTAGATAATATGAAATAGTCGTTGAACAGCTGTTACACCTGCTTGAAGGAAAGTTCTATAAAATCATTCCGGATTCTTAATCGTACATAGTCGCCGCCTTAGCCAGATACTCAAGATAATTCTCGAAGTGCTACCACAACAACTGGACCGAGTCTAGAATTCAAAGTTCAAAGGCTGTCGTCTTTGTCATTAGGCGAAGAGAGTAAGCTAATAAAGAAAATCATAAACCGACAAAAGAAGGAGATAAGAACAATTAACACCTGCTTACACACTTTCTCGGTGAACTTTGGAAATTAGTATAGTCCGTGTGATCAAGCTACAGTTCTTGGGACCAAGCTTTGATTGACTTTTCACAATGGCATTTTCAGTGGCATTTCGGAAAAAATATTGAAAAGGTCTTAAAATAAAAAATGCATTTAATTTTTGAAACGATATTCTGTCACACTTTGAATAGGCATGAATTTAAACAAAAAAATATCTACATATTTTCATTAGCTGCTCATTAAACAAAATTCGATTAGAGATTAGTGTTATTTTCGCTCTCTTATAGAAAAATATATACTGAAAAGGTCTTTGAAACAAATTTCTGTAACACTTTGAATAGACATGAATTTAAACAAAAAAATATCTACATATTTTCAACTGTAAAACAAATCTCGATTAGAGATTATTGTTATCTTCGCTCTCTTATAGTTGACAATTCCGCGCCAAAAACCGTACTCTTTATTTTGGCGTTCTCTTTCAGCCGCTTTTAAAGGTAAAACACCAATATTATAAATTAGTCGTAGATCAGCTGTTGTAGCCGAAAGAGGTGCGATCACTGAATCGCAGAGTTATAGAGAAATCTTTGGTATTGCTTAGATACTTAAGATAACAAGAGGGCCCTCATTTTTGGATTTGGGAAACATTTACAGACGGGCAAGGTTCAGCAAATCGATTAAGCCGATCGATATGGGAACTATTTCTCTAAGCGATGTGAGTATGACAGAAATAATATTATAGACGAAATACCAAGATAAGCAACCTTTAAGCGTACCGGCAAATTTTGTTTACAGTGAGAGTACTGAAAGTGTGTAGTAAAATCTTGACAAGTTTATATGAAAGAGTAAACAGTATTTTTTCTTTTTAGTTCAAGGAGGTTAGAATACCGGCACCTTGGGGTCAAATCTCTGGACGTTGGTATGGCAATCGAACGGAACGACCGATCCTGGCGATTCACGGATGGCTCGACAATCTGGGAACCTTCGATCGGTTGATACCCCTGCTACCCGACTACATCGGAGTGCTCTGCATCGATCTTCCCGGACATGGAAGATCCGCTCACCTTCAACAGGGAATGCGGTACGCCGTCTACGATTACATGTATGTCATCCCTCGAGTGATGAAGGAGTACGGCTGGTCGACGGTCTCGTTAATGGGTCACTCATTGGGTGGCATCTTAAGCTTTATTTACACGGCATTGGCACCACATATAGTGGACATGGTCATCTCCCTGGATATATTAATGCCCTGGGAACCGGACTCCAAAACGGTTCTGCAAAATTTGGCCAACAGCATGGAAAAGCACCTGGTGGAAGAGGACCGTCAGGAGAAGGGTAACATGCACGAGCCTCCCTCCTACACCCTCGCAGAGCTGACCAAGGTTTTGGCCAAAGGAAGTTATAACTCGGTGGCCCCAGAGTTTGCCAAACACCTGCTTCACCGGCAGGTGTTGAGATCGCAACTCTATCCTGATAGATTCTACTTCTCCAGAGATGGCCGAGTTAAATACTATAACCAAATGCTAATGCAATCTGAAGTTCCTGAGGGGCTGGTGAAGCTTATCCGGAGAAAACCCTACCTGATCATAAAAGGGTCAAATTCTCCATTTCTGGGAGCTGATACCGAAAAGGCAATTGCCATCTTACGCCGAAACAATCCGCACTTTGAGTTCTACGAGTTGGAGGGTACCCATCACGTTCACCTTCATGCCGCCGAGGAGTGTGCCCGATACATAGTGCCCTTCATCCGACACCACCGACCCCCGGCTCTCACTTCTTGGTCCTTGAGTGGCAAGGAGCAGCAACTAAGTGCCGAGGAAAACCGACGACAGCTAGAAAAATTCTATAAAAGGGGAAACACCGAGGGAAGCAAGCTGTGATGTAGTTTATATGAATCCCTATGGTATAAAATGTTATACATGACATACATACGTGTATATCTCAACAATTAGTTGAATGCTAAGTTATTACAGCTCAGGTAAAAAGCTATTAGCCCTTATTATTATCAATAAAACAAGAGTTCAAAAAGGTGCTATTTAATATGGATTTATACTGTTCGCAGAGAAATCTCGTACTCTTTAAATTGCAAACTTTGTATGACATTCCCCACTTACACTAAGTAAGTAATTCAATAATCGTTCGCGATTTCTCCAACTGCTTCGTAATTGTAGATTATTTCCTTAGTGACGTCAATTACTCGGAGGGCAGTCTTACATATCTATACATATGCGGATATATTTCTTCCCATGAGGTCCTTGCACGAGATTTTCCTTCTCCCCTGCTGTTATACAACTTGCAATTTAAGCAATTTTAAGCAGCTTACAGCTTGAGCGCATTAGAACAATTAGCGTTGTCGATGCTACAGTTATCGATGCCTTGGAACAAAAAAGTTAAGCTGTAATATGTAATATGTAGTCCTTAAAGGGGCACTCGAAATTCTCCTCACATCGAAAATGACAAGCTTATATAGTTTTGAAGTCGAGTTATAGCTAGTAATCAGCAACCAAATGTATGTAAATTAAATTCCTAAAATTCCAGCGAAACTTTTCTGTCATCAGAAAAGTAGACTGCTTCATTGAAAATTTATTTTCCGGCAGACGGAGAAGATTTTCGTTGCCTACCTTTAGGGCGACGCCTAGTAACGAAATGCGGGAAAATGCCATTATGAAGTGGGTGTGGAAAACGGAGTGGCATTTATTAATTTAAACTCTTTGTTGTTCGCCAGGAAGTTGTTGAATTTTAAACATTGGTATTGCATAATTTTCTTGTCATTTGTTTCGATTGGCCCATATTAATATTTATGAAAGTAGCTTCTCCTTTTGTGTCATCGCTCGGCTGGCTAATTCAATCAATTAACCTTCGAGTGAAAAGGCAAGAAAATACAAGAAAATTCCCTTCATACACTATCGATTTTGCCATTTCAAGGAGTCAAGTCTGCCGTACACATATGCGTACCACATACACGTGGCATATTTCGCCTGTAATCTGAGACGCCACAGGGTTCCCCCATTCATTTTTTGGCGTTTCTAAGGTGGAAGCCATAAAGCCTTTACGGCATATGCCTAGATTTGCAAATTAAAGTGGGTTGGAAGGCGAATACTGGCTGCCCAGCTCGTGTGCACTCCAATTCCCTTTGAACGGGTGAGCAACTCGAACGCTTTCCGCCTCCGATTTCAGCAACAATTTCTTTTGGTGTGATATTGGGTTAAGGAGACTTAAAGAGGTTAAGGAAATCTTTCGAGGAACGGATCTGCTGGTGTTTGGGTTTCGGGTTTCCCTGGCTAATGGCCGGGAAAGTTGATGAATTCGCGGGGCAACCTTGGATGGCACTTAATGAAAGTGAAAGAAAGCCGCCGTTTTTACTAGATTACCGTTTCTGTGAAAGGAAGATTTACGTGAATTCAGACAGGAAACTTGCGCATACCTTAAATCCACCCGATGTTAATTGGAAAAAGTTCCAAGAAATATTTTAGGTCTCTAAAGTCCTGTATGAAATTCATTGTATGAGGCAATTTACAAATATTGAACGGCATTAATTAATTGACGTTTAACAATTTAAAATAATGTGACAATTTAAATGTATGTGGGCTTTTAGATTTTTTATATAATTAGATGAAAAGCCCTAGGTAAGTAAGTTTTACCCACCATAAACTTTCACCGTAAACGGAAAAGTGTTCAAGGTGAAGCCAGTAAATTTTGCCAGCAAACTTTAAAGCGATTCTGGAGCACTTTCGATGCGGCATGCATACGTCCAATAAACATCACCTGGCACTCCTTTAGTCGGTCCCATAAAACGGCCAGAACTACCACGCTAAATGATTTAAAACGAGCCACGACTACCGAGACTCTCTGCTCTCTCGGCCTGATTGAAATGAATTGGTGGAAAACCCTTAAACCGAATGAATTATGCAGAGGCTTGGCGTGGGGCTTAATAAACCAAACTTAACGAAAACTGTTTAAAATGCGAGCTGGCCATCTCGAATATTTCCAGCTCGGTGCAATAAATCTGAGGCCACAAACTGCACTCGATTGCCCTGCCACATGCAACGTTCCCGCTTTTCTCTCTTCAAAACGTGTGCGCAATTTTCGCAATTTTCTAATAGCCGTTAAAGCTGTCGGGGGAAGGGTTCCATTCCTCGCCCTGCGCCAGTAACATTAAAAAAAACAAAAATAAAAAAGGAAAACAGCAGCTTTTCACGTCCGATGATGCCCAGTTGCATGACTTCTTGTTTTTTGCTCGAACGGAAGTGCTTTCGACGCCATTTTGCGGCCGGCTATTGCAATTGAGTGCAGGCCTGACTTCATCAGCTTCCAGTTCCACCCTCCTCAGCCCCCAAGGATCCCTCAAGGAGCTCGAGGATACGTGCCCGAGCACTACGGCACGCACTTTAAGTTTCATTAAACAAAACCATAGCGCCTAGGCCTCCAAAGATTGCCTATAAATTCATGGGAGTCAGTGAAATGGAAAGCAAAATCTACGGCGGGGCGCCATTTGGTACAGTAAGCTTTCGGAAAAATAGATTCGATAGATACTAGTTTGCAAAATGCAATAACAAAAAAAGTCCTGAATTAATTTATTTGTATTTTATTAGATAAAAAACGATATCTTTCGTTCGTTTGTTTTTCGGTCATCTTAGGAAAGTCTACTGTATTCCTCGTCGGTTTCCTCTGCTGACACAGCAGAGGGAATCCGTTTGCATTTCAGTGATTTCGGGCTGTCGAGGCGGCATTTCTATTGCCAGACCCACATTCCTTGGACGACCATTAAATCTGCAACAATTTACTTGTGATTGACATGTTTATAAGGGTCGTAACCCACAGAACCCCTTCCCTGGACGATTTTTCCAGCGAGTGACCCTTTTCTGGTGGAGATGTTTGTTTTTGTCCCCTTTCATAAGCAAGTGAAGCCTAAAACGGTTTTGGACTGCTCCTTTTTTCATTTACCCCGCAAAGAAAAATAAATCTTTGATATTTGCGCTGTCGGAGAAGCATACTAAATATGCTTTTGCATTTTCAAGGACTCTTCCTTTGCCATGCGGAAGATGTTGAAGTGTACAACCATTCCTGGTATTGCATGAAAACCCCCAGCACACACAATTAAAAGTTCCCACGTCAAGGGATACATGAATAAAACAATAAAATCGAGTGCGTGAGTAAGGAATACAACTGAATCGAATGGATATTACCCTAAATACCCTATGAATAAACATCAACAGAGAACAGTAAATTAATTGGGGATAAACCTAAGCATATATCATATAAACTTTCTTCAATGAATTCTTTTAATGAAAATCCATTCAAATAAATTCCCACATGTTAAACTTTCTTGCCGAGTTCATCATACCCATAAAAGCAGAAAAGAAGTGGAAGTAAAGAAAATTAAAGAGTGCTCCCACAGAACTCCGATATCTCCATTGCCAGACAAAACGCATGTTTTGTTTTAATTTTGCACTCGGAAGAAAAGAAATCCCAACCGGTTTGCAAGGCGCCTCACAAAAAAGGGCAAAACGTGCGGGTAATCAGCCAACTCTGTAAAAAATGAAAATACGAAATACTACAGTTCACGATCAATTGAAATGCAACAAAAAACAGCTGACATGCAAGCAACTGCAACTCGAACGCACTTCGAGCCGCAACTCGAACCAAAACCAAGTTGGCACCGATCATGGCTAAGATCGCAACAAAGATTGGGCAACTTTCAGTTGAGCGCGAGAATTCCACGCGGGCGGACGGGGCGGATGAACGACATCGGTTTGTTTCGGTTGAATTCAGGTGTCGAAAAGTGCGATAAGAACTGAATTCGTTTCGAAATACAGAAAAGTAAGACCCAAATCGATAAGGAGTCGCTCTGCATGTCGAGACCAAGTCGAGTTACCCCACAGTGAACAACACGCAAAATGAACTGAAAACTCATTTCGAAACAGCTGAACACATTTGTCAGCTGTTAAAACAAATTTTGTGTGGAGAAATGCTAATGACTTTTGTTGTTGCTGCCGCTGAACTTTTCAATTAATTTAACAGCCCGTCGTCGTTGGCATAGATCTTATCGCCATATCATAAAACAAAAAAATAAAAGCCCAGCCGAGAAAAACAAAACCCAAAAAAGTTCTCAAGAAAGTTTAACGAAATTGAAAGAAAACAAAACAGCAGCTCAAACGGTTTTCGTTGTTGGTGTCTATTTTGGAAGCGATTTTTTTAGGCCGAAAGGTGTGCCCGATTCCAAAGATTCGAGGCATTACGAGCCCCACGGGGTTCTCAATTTTCAGCTACCCTTTTCGTGAGTTTTTCGCTGAGCTCAGTGGGATATGAAAATATATACATAACTCCGCTCATATTTGCAAGTAATTTTCGTACTGACATTTGAAACCAGAAATATGTATGCCCCATCCCAAAGTTGCTGCTGCAAGGTTGTTTTTACCTGTCCTCTGCCATTAATTGAAATTCAATGCGGAAGGGGCGTAGTAAAGTGCATTGAAAAGGGGCTTTGGGAGGGGCAAACCGCTAGGCTATGACAATTATTACAGCTTCCCAAAAGCGGCCAATGAAACAGGTTGTTCGCTCCTGCCATCAAAATTCGCAGTGAAGCCAAGTAGTGCAAATTGGTTTGCCAACATAGAACAAAAAACGGGAAAGGAAGTTGAAGCTGCAGAGCCAAGACTTAAATACACTTATGGGGCAGGAAACTAGAAAGTGGCATACCTCTAAATGTTTCTGGAGCAATTCTCTAAAAATCTGCATTCAAATTTAGAAATTTATTTTTTTGAATTTTTTTTGTTATTTTTATGATCTTATGATGCTGCAGTAGTTCAAAAAAATTAAGAAATGCCCTAAAGCTGAAGTTCTAAACTCCATAACTCAACTTATCTTGATCGGATTTTGAAGTGGCATACCTCTAAATGTTTCTGGAGCAATTCTCTACAAATCTGCTTTCAAATTTAGAAATTTATTTTTTTTAATTTTTTTTTTAATTTTTATGATGTTATGATGCTGCAGTAGTTCAAAAAAATTAAGAAATGCCCTAAAGCTGAAGTTCTAAACTCCATAACTCAACTTATCTTGATCGGATTTTGAAGTGGCATACCTCTAAATGTTTCTGGAGCAATTCTCTAAAAATCTGCATTCAAATTAAGAAATTTATTTTTTTGAATTTTTTTTTGTAATTTTTATGATGTTATGATTCTGCAGTAGTTAAAAAAATTAAGAAATGTCCTAAAACTAAAGTTCTAAACTTCATAACTCAACTTATCTTAATCGGATTTTGAAGTGGGATACCTCGAATTATTTCTGGCGGAATTCTCTATCTAAATATATAGATTTTCCAGAAAATGTCGAATTTTCTTGTTTGTACTTGTTTATAGCATTTTATCTTGTTCAATTTTAATGTGTGCCTTAACATATCGTATTTAAGTTCTCTGCTGAAAATGTAACTTCTTATAATAGCAAATTTTCTCTAAAATAATTCTATCAATTCGGAAAAATATATATATCAAGACATTACAAAAGAATGAAGCAGATATTCGAATACCCTCTGGAAGAGTAAAGAAATAACCGAGCAAGATGGGGCAGAGTGAGGCGGGAAAAGTGGCATCGACCACTTACGCATAACTGTAAGATAGACTGGCAGCAAACAGGATTTCTGGCACGTACTTCTTGCTCACAAGTGAAAGAATTACTTGGCTCTTTTTCTCCTCTATGTACTATATACCATATAGCGGTTGGGTCTGCCGCACACCTTATCAACCGACAAATTAAGTTCAAACTGCTGCTGCTAACCGGCATGGAAAAGAGCTAAAACTTCAATTTGTGTCAAAATACTCATGCGCAAAAATGGAATTTTTCCATTAGGCCAGAGAGATAGAGACCCAAACTGAAAAAGCCAACAAAAAACTCCTAAACTAACATAAAAAACAGTGAAATTCATGTGGAGGGACTAGCTAGGCACTGAGAAAAATTAAGTAGACCTTACAAATATTTTATAATAATGCGGTTTATAGATTCATTCAACAAATGAAGCAAGCGTAAATTGGTTCGGGTAAATGGCCTTATTCAAACTATTTTTTTAAACATATGAGTATTTTTCTCGGTGTATTGGACTAATGTAAAGTAAAGGCAACCGAAGTTTCAAGCTGCAACTTGTCAAACGTGTTCCCCAACAAAGTCTCTCGGCATTTGGAAATGTGCAGCATTGTGCAGCGGCAAGAAAAACAGCAGCAGCCACAGAAAGGAAAACAACTCGCATAACTGTGACTTGTATTAATTTTCAAGCTTTTCCAAACAGCAAACTGCAAACAAAAAGAAAATCCTAATCCCGCCTTGTCTTGGCAGCAAAATGTGTGCGGCGACAAGAGCCACAATTAGCATTTAGAAAAGCTGCATCATCATCGCGATCCCATCATTAAACTCCCTATAGATGGAGGAGGACGTGCTGAACGCCCTGCAGACGCGGAGTGCCTACTTATCCGGCGGATTCGATCGCCAGAAGCGCATCATCTTCGTTGTCAACGCGTTCAACGATCTGCAGCTGTGGAATCGCCGCTATCTGCAGGTGACTCTGGACTATCTGAAGCGGTCTCTCAGGTGAGAATCGGGAATTAAGTGGCATTAGGCATTTGCCATTAGGCACAGAAATTTTAGAAACCGGCAGTGGAAATGCCGACGACTCATTAGCATATGGCCGAAATATTCAAATAACCCGCAGATGATGAAGGTTCCTTTTTTTGTCGTCTTTAATGCATTACTTTTCATTAGACACGGTCCTCTGGAAGGGGTCGTCTCGAAACGGGTCTCGAAATGCGGAAAAGCCGTACAAAATCTGGTTATTTACATGCTAAGTGTCAGAGATTTTAAGACGACTAAATAATTTAAAGTGTTTGAAGCCAGGTGATTTGTTTTGAATGGAAAATTGTTTTAATATCAACGATAATACTTCGATTAAAATTTATAAGTTCAGTGTAACTTGATACATTTTCCAGTCAGTTTAAACACACTTTCCCTTTATTAGCACACTTTAAAAGCAAACATTTGTAAGAATAGTAGTAGCAATAAATGGTCTCAATAAAAAAACTCTGAAATAATTTATTAAAATTATATTCCGCTCGTAACCTATTTGAACAACTGCTTATGGGCATTACAGCAACGCCCTTCTTTTGTTTTTTCCCCATTTCAGTTTGTTTCTTCATTGGCACAACAAGCAAATTATTTAATTTTACGAGCTAGCCATCAAACTATCTCTTAAATACAGAGAAAAAGCCACATGAATTATGGATATATTGATTGTGATCAATCAACTGGCAATGGGTCACAAGAGTTCCCCTGAAAAAATGTGGTTGATTAAAGCCAAATCCCAACTGGCAAGCTAATGAAGCACTTAACGCCGCTTTCCTCCAGTTCCCAACCGATTAACCAACTTGGTATTAATCTCTTCCAGCGCTTCGGTGTTGCAGAATGGCGTGAGTGTGGTGGTCAATGCCCAGGAGAGCAGTTCGCGGATATCGAGGCAGCAGGTGCGCCAGATTTACGCCCTCTTCGGGGGCGACATTAATGTGGATCTGTATCTAGTCAGGGCGGAGGGCTTCTGGGAGAAGCATGTGGAGCCGTGCACCAAGTCCCAGGTCAAGGGAGAGGTAAGCAATAACCTTAGTTGAAGTAACAAAGTGCAACAACACAGGAATGGAATTACAAGATTTAATGAGATTTTGGGGTGCAGTCTTTGACCCAATTAAATAGATGTGTTTGAAAAATCGAAATGATTTATTACCAAATAAAATATGTCATAAACATAAACTCCACAATGAACTGCTGCCAAGCAATTAAAGTTTCAGCATTGTACTCAATAATTTTTCACGGTGCTCTTTAAATAGCCCCTGGTGCTGTCGAAGGCGAGGCTGTTCAAGTTCATAGAGCCGCAGAACCTGCCCGAGGAACTGGGCGGCACCTTGCAGTTCAACTACGATCTGTGGCTGCAGCAGCGCAAGGTAAGTGCCCCAATTTTTGCACCGTTCGAAACGGCATCTAATGGCTATATTTTCTCAGTCCATCGACGAGTTCACCAAGTCGCATGTGCAGACTTTGGCTTCGATGGAGAAGCTGTTGGCTCTTCTGCGGGAGCACAAGTCTCTGCGGCCGGCGGAAGCGGATGTGGAGCTGAAGAAGTGCGCCCAGTTGCATGCCGGAGTCCAAAACGACATAGAGTCCGCCATCGACTTGGGTGAGTCGAGTTCGTCACTTGAGTCTTTTGTTGTTTGAGCTGTTCGCTTGTAGATTTTTTGTTTGCCCCCCAAGCAATTAACATAATTCGGTTTGCCCTCGAAGCAAACGAGTTAAGTGAGACAGACAGAGACGGGAAGAAAGACACACATGTGACAAGTAAATCATTGAATTTTGTGTGTTTTCAATTAGAAATGCGCCACGTTTGGCAAACTCGTTTTTCGCGCCGTTTGTCGTACATTTTATTGTGGGTTGACTTTAACGGCACTGAATAACATTGAAATTGCCTTTGGAGAGCTTAGATACTGAGGCCTATAGAAGGTGTTTTAGGTAGAACTGTTGAATAGGCTTTGTTTTAGCTTTGATTTGACAATTGAGAATTGTTTGTGAAATTAGAAAGACTATTTTTGATTGATTGGAAATGGTATCCACCTATTATCAATTTTTTTTAAGACTCAGACAATCATGACTTCTTAAATTCCACATATTCATTCAGAATTTATGAAAGCCACAGCCAAGAATCAAATACTTTTCTGGCTTCATTAAGTTATTTTCGAGAAACATTTGCGGTTGGGGATCAACGTGCTCTGAGCAAACCGTGTTTCACAATGTTCACACTTCAATTTTTGAACAGCGACTTCAAGTTCGACCGAGTTCTGGTTTGAGTGCGTGGGTTTGGCAAAACGACAGCCACAGCAACAACGACAATCGTGACCTTTCACTTAAAGCCACAAAAATTGGTGATGCGCAGCGAAATGGTGGCACATGCCACAGTCCAAAGAGTCAGACTGGGATTAAAAACCGCTCCGGGCGTGAGTTTTCACTTTTGTGGATGTGTGAATAGCGCTAGATCCGATCCCCCAATGAAAGCCATAAGATGCACTCGGAAAAATGCAATGATGTTCTAAGGTCTTAAAAGAAATATTTAAGTTATACTTTGGAAAATGCCAGGGAAGAATGTATTTAATAAGTGACTCGGCCTGATAAACTGGTGTCGTTTTAAAATAGAGAATGATTTGTAAGATCAGATTATTTTTCAGACTGCTATATTTCTCATCCCCTTTCCCTTTTCTCTTTGCTTGGCGGCATTGTGCAGGTAACGCGATCTTGGCCCGCTTCAACGAGGTCTACGAGACGCATTCACCGCCGCCACAAGCGGTCGCACCTGCCTCGGAGTCCCCTGCGGGCCCCCCGCCCATCCCTGCCCACTCCGCCACTGCAGTTTCCCCGCAGAAGCCCCTCCTGCCGCCCGATCTCGTCTGTGAACGCGCCCGCATCGAGTTGCGGTTGAATGAGATCGAAAAGAAACAGACGGCCATCCGGACTGCCTGGCTGGAACTGCTCCGATCTTTGAGGGAGGCACGCGAACTCTGTACTTTGGAGGAGGGGGTGTCCTTCGTCACCAACTGGATCCTGCAAGAGGCCGAGCTGTTGCTCAGCCGCCAAAGGAGCGTTGCCGGTGATTTTAGGGGCTGTGAGGCCCTACGTTCTGCTCACGATCAACTGGAGCTGGAGTGCCGGGAAACCTACGGTTGCTATGCGGAGCTGCTCTATAAGATCGAAAAGTTTGCCGCTGAAAGGCAGGCATCTTCGAAGGATATGGACCGGTGCCAGGATCTTTTGTCGCAGCGGGACTTCATGCAGTTCGTGTGTCGCTCCTTTGCAAAGCGATTGGAACGACGAAGAAATGTCCTGATGACCGCCCTCAGGTTCCATCGCCTCCTCGATCAATTTGAGGAGTTGCTGGCCACCGGTAACCATGTGGTGGAGGTGGACAGTAGATCGCTTGACTGGGTCGAGGCTGAGCAGCTACTCATGCAGCTCAGTAACAACCAGGAAATGTTGGGTGAGTTTCTAAACATTAACAAACTCATGTCATTTGATCTATTGGTAAAGAAAAATGTGTGAAACCTTGACAACTACTTTCGAAATATAGCCAGCGAGCCTTGACAAAATAATACTAAAATTGCTCTGATAATTACCACGGATATGACAAAAAATTTTACGAACAAAAAATTCATTACAAATACAAATACAACAAGTGTCACGGTTCTAAAGTTCAATGAATAGCACAGAAATAAGCCAGCACTCAAAATATCTATTGCAACTCGAAGTATTGAGATCAAACACAGCAGCTTCCAACATCAAAACCATTTGATGCAACTCGAGCTTTAAACATCGAACCAAGACTTTTTCAACTCGCTTAAATAATATGAATCATATTCATATAAAATAGTATACAATATAACACAATTATTTTGGTTATATACCATGGGTCTGTTCCAACTCAAACGATTAACAACAAATCTCTAAACGAGCTGCATACAACATCCAACCGATCTCTAAACATGTTTCCAACATCCACAGGCCACGTCGAGCGCGAACTTGTGCGTGAAGGTGAAAAGCTGAGCGACATGCTGGCCATGCCGGTGAAAGACGCTCTGGGCCGTGACCTCCAGCTGGACTACAGTGCCGAGATTGCCCAGCTGCGCAGGCAGATCGACGAGAGCCGGCGACGTCGTCAGGTGTGCGGACATCGGCTGGCGCTGCAGCGGCTCACCTTGGAGCAGGTGACCCACATCCATGCCTACGAGGAGGACGCGCGGAGGGCGCGGGACTGGCTGCAGGAGTTGTATGCCGTCTTGCTGCGGTGCCACTCCCATGTCGGCTGCAACATCCACGAGATTCAGCTGCAGAAGGACGAGCTGCAGGGGTTCGAGGAAACCGGACGGGTGAGTTTTCCCCCCTTTTTTCGGGCGACTTCATTTTTTGGTTGGAATAAGATTGAGGGAAGCCATCCGGAGTGCAAGACAGAGAAAGGGAGGGCCAGTTTGGCCAACGGCAAAATGACCGAAAACATACTAAGAGCTTGTCGAATTTCTTAGCAAAAATCAAGGCCTCATTGGATTGGGTTGGTACAAGGTTGACTATCTAGTTTTTCGTCTCTATGCGTCTAATGCGTATCTACTATAATTTTAAATGTGTAGTTATACGTATTAATTACGTTTTTTTTTAGAGCATCTACCACTATGGCTGCCAATTGCTGGAGGCTTCCCAAACGCTGCGCCTCTGCTGTAAGCTGAACCCAGCAGGATCTAGGTCACAAAGCAATCCCAGTCAGAGTTTCATCAGTGACGAACTGCAGCACACGTGGCACAGTCTGCAGTCTGTGGCCCAGGAGCAGATGACCAGACTGCGCGTCTCCGCCGTTTTCCACCGCAGTGTGGAGGCCTATTATCGCCAGCTGAGGGAACTTCGGCCCCTTTTGACCCAGGAACTCTCCGCGCAACTGCAGCAGCAGCAAAGACAGCAGCACAACCGCAGTAGCAGTGGAATAAGTAGCGATGCCGAGGCAGAATTGGAATCGGAGCTGTCTCCTTTGGCCGAAATGCCTCCGCGACTACAGAGGCACTTGCTGGCCAGGGAGCAACTGCTCGTCGAAGTGGGCAGAATGGTCAGACTGGGAAGACTGCTGAAGAAGCGTCTCAAAGAGCCCTTCGTTCTGGATGCATTAACCGGAAAGAGGTGAGTTAAAGTGAATAACAATCTATAATACTTTTGCAGTTGCGTGAGTGCATGGACTTCAACCTTAGATCGGCGGCTACTTCATTATGCTCAACGCATAAAACTCAGAAACAAAAACAGCAGAACGCTCTGCATATCAAATAAAACATGAGCAAGATTTTCACTCAGGTCCCACGAGTTGGCGGCAAATTAACTAAGGAAAAACAACAACGAACACGGCAAAGAACTAACAAGTTGCTAGAAATAAAACTAAAAGAAATGACAAATTGTATTTGGAAAACAAATTACAAACGCAACTTGGCAATACGCTATAAAAATATAAAAATATGTATTTTACCTATTCGGTAACATATTCCGAAAACGGACTTGAATTAGATCTCTAATGGAATAAATAAATGAGATAGGAAGTTTGTTATTTAGATAAAGATTCCATAAATAAATAACCTTCCTGATTAACGATTTCTTAAAAAATCCTCAACACGTGTACAACACCTACCAACTGTTTATATTAAATGATCATTTTTTGGTAAGAATTATAGTCATATAAAAGCAATTCGAAACCCATCAAACCGTACAACACTTCCCAAGTAACCGCAAACTAGAAAGCCAAAAATAATTTTTGACTGAATGAAACAAATGTCAAGCTGCCACGACGCACTCAAAAAGTTCCACCACCCAAAATTCGAAAGAACCACAAAAAATATTGAAATAAAATAAAAGAACTATTCTATATAGCAGCTCATTCCGCCCAAGAGTCGGCGTCCAAATCCAAGCAGTCTATTTCAGTGCGTAGTCCAGTGCGGTCGACGTTCGGTCCTCCTTCGATTCTGTTTTTCGTTTCGGTGCGGAGCGGGAAGTCTCAAGAAAACTGTCAGATTGTCAAAGAATATACGTATAGAGCACATATCAGCTATAGAGTGAATTTCCTGGAGAACAGGCGTGACAAGTGGGTCAAAGTGGGGAGCATTGTGATAGGAAGGTGATAAATATAGAAGTGTCTTCATGGTTCCACTCTCGATTTCTCTGCATGCTTATCCCGGCAAAGTGAATAATTGAATCTACAATTATCAGAGAGACGTAGCTCACTTCAACTGGCCCACAGCCAAACGCGTGTTGTTGCTCCTTACGTCAAACTAATTGTTCCACGCCCAAAAAGAATAGGCGCCAACTAGGCAGCGAACTCGAAAAAGCTCAAAATGTTTGCCAGATTTCGTAATTTGTTTGCCAAATCAAAGGGAGACGAGGAAGTGGAACAGGAGCCGGTGACCCCCCGGCCGGATGTGCCCAGCATTGTGGTGGATGAAGCGCCCAACGAGGTCGAGGTTCCAGTGGAGGAAGGTGAAAGTAAATCCCCAAATGAAGCCCATAATCAGGCTAATGCCTCTGCGCCTCTGGCCAGCGAAGAGGAGGATTTGGCACAGAGTCCTCATGAGATCCTAAGTGAATCCTCTAGCGATCTAAGTCGACTTTTGGAGGCTATAAATGAGGCCAGTAAGCTACCCGAACTAAGCAGCGAAGATGCCCAAAGTGAAGATGAGGACTACGAGGATGATGATGATGATGAGACAGCCAGTACTTCAAGTGTCAAGACCAAAATAGCCAAGGCTTCAATCGAAAGGGATATTATTTTGGAGGAAAACGAAGAGGAGGAGGAGGAGGAGGATGAGGTAGACTCAGGACCGGCGCTGAAGAGTCTGGACAAGATCAAGGCCCTCATCCGCAACGATAGTGAAACATATCCGCACAGCGACTATACCGATAATGAAACGCCATCACACTCACGCACTGCCTCAGTGGATTCCGGAGCTCCCGATAATCCCCGTCTCTCTGGTGATTTCAGTGTCGTGGCCGATGAACTGCCCCTGGATTGCACTGCACCAAGTCCACTCCATGACAGTGGAAGGACCAGCAGTGCTGGAAGCGAGTTACCCGGAGAATCCTCGCCAGCCACCGTGCAAGTGGTGCCCACAGGTAGCAACGAACTGGCCTGCGCCGCCATTTCCCACAAGCTGGGTGCCATAGCCGAGGTGGCCGAGTCCCTGGACGCAGTCATCCGGGATGTCCAGCAGCAGGAGGGCGTCACTAGCAATGGAATAAGCAATGGCACTGGAGGTCATGCCATCAAAAAACTGGGCAGCATTGAGGTAAGTTTAAAAACAGTCCCATACAAATTTGAATGAAATGTTAGTTCCCTTTTCGTACTAAACCACATCTTGCTTAATGGTACTAATCTCGTCGCTTTAGGATTGGCACTCCCGCTCCACCGAGGACGAATCCTTCGCCACCGCCTCTGAGGGCAACTTTACGCCCAATTCGCACTCCTCATCCTTCCAAACGGCCTCGGGACGCACTAGCTCCTATATAGGATCGGCCAAGAACTCCTTCGATGAGGCGGACGACTCTACTTTGAGCACATTCGAAATACCCGAACTACCACCTTCGCCAGTCAATATGTCCTTTGATAGCTCCGAAATGAGCTACTTCTCCGCACATCAGCAGCGCATGAAGAGTGAGGACCAGGACAGTGTGGTGGGCGTGGCAGAGCTGCATAGTCAGAGTGTAACGCCCACTCCGGACGAGGAGCAGCAACACCTGCTGCTGCCACTTCCATTGCCGCAGGCCATCGAATCCGACAGCGAGGTGGAAGGATTCAGTTTGGCCACCGGCATTACGACGGAGCTAGCGCCCAGGATGCCCAATGCCCACACTCCGGAGGTGAGCTACCCACCCGCTGTTAACACCGCTCCAGCTTCAACTAACCCCAACGAATCGAAACCGCCGCCTTCCTGGCGACGCAGCAAATACTACGAGAACATAACGAAACAGACGATCAAGGGATTTCTCTGAGAGATCTGGACCACCTGCCCCAGCTGAATGATGAACACAAAACGATTTCCCGCCCAATTAACCAGCGCCATTTGCTTCTCTGCCGATCCTCGACATTCTTGCCATTAATTAGTTGGCGTATTATTTTTGCTGTTTTCCCAAAACCAATTTTAGCCCATGAGCTACAAGTTTTTGCCTGTTTTGTTTTGTTTGCTATTTTACTTTGCATGATTGTTCACTGTTTTCTGCCAAATTTTATTAGTTCTGTTGAACTTTAGCTTAAAAAATACTAAAATGCTTGAGCAAAGCCTTTTGAAATCTTGCTCGACAAATCTACTATAATTTGTTTCTTGCTTATGTTTCCTCTGCTTTAAAACTAGTAGTAGAAATATTTATTTAGTTAGTTTCAATTATGTCTAAGGCTTGCAAAATTAGAGAATTCCAAAATGAATAGAAAATATATTTCAAATATTTAAAGTAAGAATTTAAATTCAGTTACAGCCAGTCGAAATTTTTGCCATTAATCGTATGCTTAATATTTATTTATAACTATTTCTTCTACACAGTCACAATACATAGTGCAATTAAAAACGAAAATGTTTTACCCCAAAAATAAAGCTAATCATTTCAAAAATGTTCAATACCTTCTAACTTTTCAGATATGTTTTAAATTTACTTTTAAATTTTAACCTAACCACACAAGTAAGTAAGAAAAAAAATGTGAAAGTAATTTTCCAAATCCCTGAAAGCATTGCATAACTTTAGGCTGGATCCGGAAAAGTCATTGCCATCATGTGCACTTAACCCTTGAGTGCTCTTTTCGACTTTTCCACCCTAAATAATTTTTTGAATTTTCCTCTGTGGGTGGCCCTTTCCCCAACCATTATACAAGTGGTCCTCAAGTGATTTCAATTATCTGAAATGTGAACTGTCAGTGGGCGAAGCGGGGGGAAATGGGGTTAAGAGGGGTTGGTTGCTTTTGTGAGCTTCGTCAAGTGGCTCATTAATCTCAATTAAAAACATATAAATAAATCGCTCCGAGTGTGGTGAGTGAGTGAAAAGAATTTATCCTTAACGAGCTGATCATCCAAAAAGGCGAACCAAATATCTATCAGTTTCTGTTCATGCCATTCGACCAGATTTTCTGACGTGCTGGCGCTGAAAGCATAATTTGATAAGTTCGAATCGTTGATAGCGAAAAATAATAACACACATCTGCAGCGCATTGATTGCCGCAACTGCTGTTGCACGCAAGGAGCGTCGGATATTGCACGTTGGATATTGCACGAAATGCGGGGCCAAAGTCAAGCTCCAAGACACGCATTTTGGGTGAAAAATACTTCATAAATTGAGGGATTGGGTATCATGGGAGGTGAGGGGATTTAAATGCGGGCGGTCAGTTTGCCTTGCATTAAGACACGATATCGTCTGGTTTCCTCCGCTGTTCTGGTGTTGTTATTTTGATCTTCCACTCTTCGCCCTGTTATTAAAGTACCAAAGCTGCACTTGAATACGTTGTGGTTTCAGGTACCCCGTCTTATATGGGGTGTATCAGTCCAACAAGCAAGAGAGAAAACATGAAAACATGCACACATAAGATTAACAAAACATCTGTAGGTGTTGAGTTTGTTTTAACAAAGTTTGTTTTAAAAATTCAATTTTGTTTAGCAGACCAATGTTAAGAGGTAAATGGTTATATTAAACTATTATTATAATGGAGAGAAGAGGGTAAAGGGGGTACTGTTTGCTTAAAGTTACCCGAATTACAGGGTACAATCTCGTTTCGTATACCCTTACCTTTTCCCGGTATTGTAATTGCTGAAAAGCCGGGCGCAGGGCATTAAAAATTGAAATCATGAATTAACGACGCTGCGAATGCCAAGAGCACTTGTTTATTCATGTCGTCTTCCCTAAAGCCCCGCATCATCCCTCTCTCCCCAGCGTCTGCAGCCCGCTCTTTCACACTCTCTCATTTTCAAAACACAAGCCGGCTTTTTAAAACTGAGCTTAACGAGCGTCAAGAGATCAAAACAAGAGAGCCCGAGCATGAGACCTGCATGAATGAATTGAGCGAATCGGTTAAGTTTCATGGGCTGCACGCTCTTCTCTTTCTGATCTGCTGCTTTCCGTAGAATCTGCTCAGTTTGCGGTCTCCGGTTTTCAGTCTGCGGATCTCTGGTCAGTCTTGTTCGAAGTTCGCGGCGTTCGGTTGTTCGGCTGTCGGGAAAGCGGCGCGCGCGTTTTAATTTTCCATATCTCCTTCGCTTCCATAATGTGCGAATAAAAACATATCTATGTAAATTAAGTTAGGCAAAAAACGAGGAAGAAGACAATAAATTTGGCACTTCAAACAAAGTAAAATGAAACGTAAATTAATCAACCATAATTTACCTAGAATTTTTGACATTCAAAAATGCTTGGCGCTAGTTTTTTTTTGCGTTCACTCATCTGAAGATGAAATCAACAAAGTGTGCTAAATTTATTGTTGTTGTCGAATATTCAGTGACGACCCTCACATAACACAAACAAAATGTTTAACAAATAGAAACGGACGCAGAGTGCGCGAAAAAATATTTTTCAAAAATATTCGGTGACTTGATGCATTGAAAGCTTATTTGTTTGAGTCATGTGCACTTTTCAATATGCTACAACAGTCCACGCCCCAGAAAATTTCAATCAACAATTTCGCTTTTTTTTTATTTAAAATTTTTGGACAACAACATATGGAAGCAAAGCATTTCCTCTATAGCCCTAGTGTAAACTTTTAAAAAGGGAACTTGTTCTTCCCAATTTTGTTGTTCGCTGTTTATTTTTAGCCATCGCAAAGTACAATTAAAATAGTTTACATTACGCCAGCAACGGCGGCGACTATTAAAAATTGAGAGAAACACCAAAAATTACCTAATGGAGGCAGCTGGCTGCACACGAGCATACGTGGCGTATGCGTAATGTATTCAAAAATATAGAAAAATCCATGAAAAATGACTGACTGCCGACGACTCCTGCCAATGCAATTGGCACATGTTACATTTGACGCACATCCGTGCGATTTATCTTTCTATTATCTATAGTAGCCAGTATTTGCAGCATCCCCGTATCTGAGTATCTGGGCTAGAACAACAGTTTAGCTTCGTGGCAAAATCGCCGCAAAAATTACTCAATAGTTTGTTGTTTTAAAAATAAACGCGAATCGAGCATTGTCTTTGACTTTCGTTGGCGAGAGGGGCTACTGGGGTTCTACAACGAGACTAGCACACGCATCAAAGGCAATTTTCTCAGGCTCAATATGCAAAAAGTACAAACGATTCTCTCGGCTATATAGCCATATATATAGACACTACGGAATAATAAACAGGCACTAGAGCGACAGGGAGAGCGCGAGTATGAAGTCATAGTCATCGCGGCGGGCAAAAAGAATTCTCCGTTTCGAAAATCAACCGATTCGCGGAGGTTCTCAGACGATCGCCGGCGTTGATAGCGCTCGCAACGAACCGAAGGAACCGCCGAATCGAATCCCCTGGCTATAACTAACCCAATAAATTAAATCCGAACGCGAGTGACTCAATCTAATAGTTCCACTTTCGAGCAGAGTTCAAAATGCAAAACACGCGAAACAAGCAGGGGAAATAAGCCAAAATACGAGAAAAACTAAACGACAGAGATTATAGAACGCCCACGCAAAACACACCAAGCTACAAGCACTCAATCCTCGAAAGTTAGTCAAAAAAAAAGTAGAGAAGCGCAGATAGAAAGAAAAGCAACCATGGAACGCCGCCAAGCCCTAGACTCATCGATGTCTTCGCTCTACTCGGTCGCCTCCTCCTCGAATCCCAATCCCCGCCAGCCGCACACCGGCCACCAACTTCAGACGCAGCAGTCCCAGCAATCTCAGCAGTCCCAGCTAGACGCCTTCAATTATTCAGCAACAATGTCATCATCGTCGCCGACTCCAAGCCAGGCCATGTCCACGGCCATGTCCACGGGCACGGGCACCGGCACCACCCACACCACACCGCCATCCACGTCCCTCAGAGCCACCACCATTGGCACCGTTGTCGTCCGATGCGGACCCATCCAGCTGGTGATAGCGCTCCTACAAGTGAGTTGTACTCTTGTACCCCGCAAACAATAAAAATAAGATACTAAAAACGAAACCAAACAAAACACACAGCAAAAAGGCTAAGAAATGGGAAACAAACATGAAGAAACATTTATCTAGATACGGGAGAAGTGTTCGGAGAAAGCTCTTGAAGTGCGCGGAAATTTATGCGGAAGGCGATCTGGGAGGACTCCGAAAGAGATTTGGGTCGGGGTATTGGGAGATCTTGAATAAATCATAAATCTAGGAAATGCAGTCAGTTTGCAAAAACACAGGGAAACATCAAGGATAAGCTTTAGCCATTGAAAAACCTTATAAAAGCAGTTGCATTCGACTCATGTTTATGTGAAGCTATAAAAAAAATCATAAAAATCAATCAGGACTGTGTAAAAATAATGACCTTTTTTCAATATAAAGCTATATAGCTAATCATTTGAATGACGACATTGTCTTCGTTTATAAGTAATGACAGTGCAATTAAACTTTTTTATTTAGTGCAGTTTGCGCCTTGGGCAAAAACAGACAGATGCAAAACAGAGAATTGAAGTTCAATAGACACTATCTCAGACTGTTATCAAACCATTTATCAATCAAGTCGCTATACAACAACATACGACTATTATTAAATAGTCCAGCCTCCAACATAGCACATGTTTATTACAGATCGTAGGCCACCACATTCGTCATTAATTGATAAATTCCTATAATTATCCCGTAGTTACCCCCCAGATATAAGGCGAAACTATGTGACTTTAGCACTGAAAAATTCATGAACTTCTAATGCCCAAAACTGGTTTACAATTTTCGATTGTTTAAACCGGCTTCCAGCAATTTCCGCGCCAATTAGCACTCGAACAACGAAAGCAAAAGTTGTTGATAGCGGTTATAAATATTTGAAAAGCGGCAGCAGAAAAACAAACGCCACAAAAGGTTCAAGGTTGTCTGACATCAGAACAAGACGCAAAAGCCAACTAAACGTGACAAAAAGAAATGTATCTGCCAGATACTTTCAACAATTAGGCGCAGCTGCTACCTGTCTGGGTCCCATTCGAGCTGGCTGAATCAGTTTCTTGAGAGAGAAACTTTATTTGGGTCTTCTCCACTGAATTTCCCCCTCTTCACCACCCTCAAATCGCTGGAACTTGAAGCTGCGACTTGAACTTGAGATTGAGAAGCATCTCTGATGAAGCGCTACAAGTTTTATGCCCCGAAACAAAACACATTCAATAATTATGGGCAACGTTGTATGGTTTATAGTTTTTGGGCTAAGGGGAATGTGCCTCTTTCTGCACCAACTTTTCTGTTCATTCAACCAACGGTCCATTGAAATTTCGGTGTGCCACTTTGTGCCAATTTTTTCTCGCCATGAGAATAATTATTTTTGCTTCATTTGCCATTCGAGACTCACGGCTCCATGTGTTAAACATTTGATTTGATTTACCCCTTTTTTTTTCCCCCACTTTTGATTCTGGAAATTATGCAAAAACATTTTACTGGCGAGCCTTTCAACACGTTTCTGCTGTATACGT